GGGGGTAATACTATTTATTTTACAATGAAAGTTTAGAATGTTAATTGTATTTTCATGAATGCTAAAATATTCTAAATTATGAAATTAGCACAAAAAATTAACATTTTTGAAAGAAATAATACATGACCATGATACTAAAATAACTTTTTATATAAAGTTTGGGGTATTTAAATTACATATGCAAGTTTGGGGTGCTTACCTCACACCCCTTCAAAGTTTGGGATATTTAAAATATCTTCCCCTTACTTTTATCACATAGATACCTGAGCTGAAAGCATCATCATGCCCCTTTCTTTTTCAGTTCCTCCAAATAAACCTTGCAAATCTGCTTCGAGTGACCTATTTTGTTGCGGTGGAAACATTTTGCATTTCTTTAGAAGTAGAGCTGGCAACATATTTGCCTTTACCCGATTTCTTAACCAGGCTTTTGGATTTCTTGTTTCCACCAATCTTGCCTTTACCACGACTCTTGAATCCCTTCCCCTTTTTACCATCAAAACGTCACCCCGATTTTTTTTGATATTTTGCTCAGCATAGTTGAGTATTTCATGCAATTTGGTTAAGGTCTTCTCAAGACAATGTATATTATAGTTCAGGATGAACTGGTCATAATTTGGGGTGAGTGACGTGAGAATCACATCAGTAGCCAAGTCTTGAGTAACTGAAGATCCAAGTCTTTTCAAGTGGTCCCTATACCCAATCATCTTAAGTACGTGAAGTTCAACTGGGCTCCCGTCAGTAAACCTTGTGTGAAACAAAGCCTTGGTTGTCTCGAACCTTTCGATCTGTGCTTGTTTTTTAAACAAGTTCTTGAGTTCATTAGGGATGTCATGTGCATGATGATTCAAAAACTGTTTCTGAAAATTAGCTTCCATGATGGTTAACATCGGACAAGTGACATCAACTTCATGACAGACATGTCTTTCATAAGCATCAGTAGTAGCTCTAGGAGCATGGCCGCTGGTTCAGCAGGAATTGGTTGGTCAAGGACATATTCTTTACGCTCTTGCTTGAGAATAATTCTCAGATTCCTATCTCAGTCCATGTAGTTTGTTCCATTAAGTTTTTCCTTCTCAATGATAGATCGCAGTGAAAAAGTTGTGTTGGTGGCCATATTAACTACAACAAATAATGCAAATAATTTAAATAATGCTCAAAATAACTCCCACTATATTAAATAGAAAGTCCCAAATATAGTGGTCCAAGATCCACATGTCATTAAAATTTAAGTAAGTTTTGACTTATCACTTAAACATTAGTTATTTAGGTAAACAACTCTTGTTAATTATATCCTATATGACTCTTGGTTTGTTTGGTCAACATCGTATAATTATCCAAACATTCCTTGCTTCAAGGCCCAAAACCATTTTGGTGGCCTTGTAAGTCCAAACCAATATTAATACCCGGGAATGACGATCATTCGAATCATCTTCCTAAGATAATGTGAAATGATTTGCTTTAGCAGACACATATCACGCCTAGTATAATTTAAATGGTGGTCATATTGGGAAAACAACTTAGACTTATAATTAATAGGGACTAATAATCACACACATGCAACAACCATAGATTTAAGTAAATAAATTAAAACTAATGCAAGGATATAGCATGATCCCAAAATCTTGACATAAATTATATTATAAAATAATATAATTTATATCTTAACATATAAATTAATAAATAATAATATTATAAAATATTAAATAATATTATAAAATATAATTTATATCTTAATTTATATCGGATCCATTCAGACCTGGTCCGAAAAATAATAAATAATATTATAAAATATTCTTAACATAAATTATGAGTATCAATTCAGATCTAATTCAAATTCTTGAATTTTCACGTCCATTTAGATCTCTTTCGAATAATTAGACAGTAGAGTTTTATTCAATTCCTGATTCCATTCAGATCTGATCAGAAAATCAATAAATAATATCACAAAATATTATTAACATAAATTATCAGTATCAATTCGGATCTAATTCAAATTCATGAATTTTCATGTCCATTCAGATCTCTTCCGAATAATTAGGCAATGAGATTTTATCCAATTCTTAATTCCATTCAAATCTGATCTGAAAAATAATAAATAATATCACAAAATATTCCAGATATTATTGTGAATATATATTGGATCAAATTCAAAATATTCAAATATCACATCCTTACAAAAAAAAAATCGGAATATAATATACACATACAAATTCTGAAATTAATAAATAAATAATTCCGAAAATGATCAAATTACAGATTATATATCAAATCAGGTAACCCGAACACAATAAAGAACCGTAGTCTCTGATACCACTGTTGGGTTTTGGGCAGAAAAACGCAGCGGAAAAACGAAAAAAAAAACTTTGCCCAAAAGTAAGCCACTGGATATGAGGTTCTTACTATAAACAAAATTACAAGAGTATGAGGGACTTACATAGAAATCTTAAAGCAAGGATGTCAGACCGTCGGAGACAACGATCCTAAGCCCTACCGGTATCCACATGCACGTGACTGGATTGCACACAGGGAACATGCTAGCGTTCTCTTCTTTTTTTTTCTCTCTCTCTAGGTTTATTAGATGTGAATTTAACACTTAAATTCGTGGTTCACCTTACCCGTATTTATAAGAGGAGAAAAGGAGTTTTATAGCTAATAAAACCCTCCTCGAGGCTCTAGCTCCATACCATTTAAAAACCTATTTTCGAATTGGGCTAATCAGGCTATTTTAATGTTATAAACAAAAATTAATGATCCAATCACTTAGGTGTGTGACCCTGTTGGTTTATATATCGTTGGCAGTGGGCTAGAAGATTAATTCGAGCCTCACAAGTCATAAACACTCTCTAGCAAGGCATTATGTTTATCCAAGATATATAAATGTCAATTAAATCTGACACAACCTTTTAATAATTAATTTGTGCTGATAATTCTCTTTTGTCAAACGATATCTTAATTAAAATAAGGTTATGTTGTGTCATCCTTGTTATTCTCAATTAATATTTCTTGATTACCAAGTAAGATTAATCTTGAACAAATGTTACTTCATTTTAGCATGGTCATGCTTATTAATCTTACTTGTCAAGGGACCCAATAAATATCTTTCTCTCGCTATACGAGAGTGACAAAAACTAGCTTGATAATTCACACATCCTTACATGGCTAAAAATGTGTACAATCACCACCTTTATAATTACCCACTTAAAGATAACATTTAATGGTGTTAACACATATTAATTCCCATGTAAGTAATCATGATTATCTCAAGTATAAGAATATAACACTCATCATTGTTGAGGACAACACCGATGACATATAACTTAGCAGTGTCATCAAGTTGGATCTGTCCAATGAACTTGTTCATTAACAAGCATCTATGTTATTACCTTGATATTTATATACTCATGAGTAGCACTGGAATGTAGTCATTGGTTAATCAACACACTGGTCTATTAATTATCAATGTCCCAAATTAATAATATTAGACCAGAGACAATTAGAATATTATGCTTATAAGTTTATTAGAAAATGTAGCATTCCACAATTAAGTCACATACTTAATTAGATACTAAACATAATTATTGATAGAGTAAAATAAGTGTTTTTGTGTAATAGAAAAAGTAAAAAGCAAATTCTAGATTTTAAGTAGAAGTTGTCACTTAAAAACACTCTTTGTAGTTTTTTAAGCAAAAAAGTTGAGAAGTGCTTTTTAGGCTATGTTTGGTGGGCATAAGTTCGTGCCTTCTAGCTTTTGTACTATTTAAAAAGTCTTTAAAAGCTTCTTGTTGAATGTTTGGCATGCCAATTTTTAAGAGCTTTTATAAAAATAAAATATCTTTTTTGAGATGCTAGAATGAGTCCTAACAGGTTATATACCAAATAGAGCTAAATCAAAGAGTCGGGTTTTTACCAAACAGCTACTACATTTTCTTTTTAAGATTTTTTCAGTCACTAAAAGCTAACAGTTACTAAAAAGCTCATAAAACTATTTTTTCAGCTAGATGTGCCAAACATACCTTTAAGCATTTTCAAACGATGCCTTAATTCATTGAAGTTTGATTTCTACATTTTGGCATGCCTTTAAAAACAATGGTGTAAATGTGGTAATTTTCGCCTTCTTTTTCCTGAAAGGAGCGATATTTGGTTCAAAATTATTACAAGTATCAAGTACTATCATCTGTTCTTTAAAAGTTGTAACAATTTGACTTTCATGATTTTCAATGCACAAATTTGAATTTAATTATATCTAATTACGTATGAGTAAACATTATAAAAAGTTAATGTTTTGGAAATTCACATAAATAGAAATTTAATAACATTTTTTACATATTAATTTGATTATATATATTAGTAAAAAACCATGCTCGAAATAAGATGTGTGAATAGTACAAAAAACCCCAATGTTGCAACTATTAAAGAACGAATGAAGTATTTATTATTGATCGTACTCCGTAAAAAGTAAAAATTGTGTCATGACACGAGAATTAATAAAGTAAAAACTGTGTTGTTGAGAATTTTGTATAGAGAAGAGAAAAATGATAGGAACAATAAATTGATTGATTAAAATGACAAAGTTTTTTGGATAACTAAAAAATAGGAAGATGACAAAATTTTAAGAGACCAAAAGTAATATAATACACTCTTTATAATCATTGCTCCCTTCATCTCAATTTACAATTTTTAATTGTCCTTAGACGTAAGAGTTAAATGAGGATGTAATACATACTCACTAAAGTTATTTCTTAACATATACTCCCTCTGTCCCACTAACAATGGAACAAGAAATGACACACAAACCAATAAAGAATGGTTCATGTGATTGATTGATAATGAATTTGTAAATAAAATTAAAGTAAGAATGATTTAGAGTTACACAAATTTTAAAAAATTTGATTTGGAATAATTTATCGAAAATGTAAAATGTGACAATTTTAACGGGATGGAGAAAGTATAACAAATAATTTTATTAATTAGAGTATTGTTTAAACACACTCTTTTCCAAACCTAAATAGGAATAATAGAATTTAGGAGATCATCTCCATTTCTCTTTTTATTTAAATAAATCGCTTTCAAAGGTTCACCTCTGTGGCTCTGTGTCTCTCTTTCTCTTTCGTTTTTTATTTTTTATTTTTATTTTTCTCCAGCTGCTGCTGCTGCGGCTAAACCCTAGTACTGCGGGGAGTCTTTCACTTCTATTACCCAGTCGGTGCTTTGTAAAAGCCATGTCTGGTTATAATCTAAACTTTTCACCTGCAAGATCCGTGTCTCCACAGATAAGGAATGCCCTTGATGTCGACAGGTAATTTATTTTTTAAATTTGTATTCAAGTTTTGTTTATGGGTTTTGATCGTTTCTTGGATTTTTGGCAAGAAGTATCATCTGTTACTTGGATTGGATTTTTGGCTGTTGATTAGTCGGGTTTGATCGTTTCTTTGTGTATTTGGGTGGAAATTTTTCTCAGTAATCAGTACTTGTCAGAGCTGTTGGCGGAGCATCAAAAACTTGGACCTTTCACTCAAGTTCTTCCCACATGTACCAGGCTTTTAAATCAAGGTAATTTTTAAAGCTCCTACTTCTTTTTCTTTTATTGGATCTCGTTTTTCTGGGTTTTACCACATGGTTGTTAATAATTTCATATTCTTTTATATTAATTTTTATAACTACGATCTACCTGCAATTAATTTTTCATTTTTTATTAATCTACTCTGTTCTCACCCTTCTGGCTCATTTTTAGATGTGGTCGCTACCTGCATTATTGTTGTAATTTACTTGTATGAAAAGGGAATTATGTTGATGTGCTTTTAATGGATTTTGAATATCAATTATGTCAAACTTGCCAGCGTGGTGGAAAAGTGCTTCCAAAAAATTTCTTCAATCAAAACATGTTTACTGTTGCCAGTTGGATTTGCAACTTGTCGGAAGGAGCTATAATTTTTTTTTGGGAAATGGAAGAGATATTATTATATGCTACAAAATTCAGAATACATTACAGTATTACACTCACTCCCTAAAAAAGTCCTCTTCGAACAAGGCACAACATTTTTCTTTTGGTCAATGCACAACTTTTATATAATGTTCAAGGTAAAATGGGTAAAAGCCTTAAATCATACAGACTACTTAATAAAGTAATGCCCCTGAACTTGTTTTCTATTTTTTTGAATCTAAGATCCTTGTTTATGACAAGGAATCTCTGAAACATGAACCTTAATGGGGAAAATGGTGAACTTATAATAAAAAAGGGATTCTAAAGGAATGACATATTCTTGATAGTCATTTTAGGCTATCATTTATATAATGTTTTCTCAGCCTGTACTGTGAAATTTGAATTGATGCTATTTGAATGTCATATGTTGACTACTTGACTATTGCCTTTTAATGAGTACTTTTTAGGAAGAGCTTTTAAACAGCATGTGTTAACTGGCCTGTGTTTCTTTTTGTAAAGTTTTCTTTTGAGATTCTTCACCTTCACTCATAGAATATGAATGTGGATACCTTTTCATTTTTCTTTCAGAAATCTTGAGGATTTCTGGAAGGATGCCGAACCAAGGTTTTAATGAGCTTGATAGGCTGAGACACAGGAGTCCTAGTCCTATGGCTTCTTCAAATCTTATGTCAAATGTTGCTGGAGCAGGAGGGCTGGGTGGTGGTTGGAATGGACTTCCCCAGGAGGTATTTCAAATGCTGATCGTACTTCTTCTAAAAGGCTAAAATCAATCCAAATCAATCCAAACCAAATGAACCCAGTAAGTTCTAGGAGGGTCTGAGGAGTGTAAGATATACCCATGCATCATCTCTACCTCAATATGTCTCTGTGAAGACCTTAGGCTTGCGAAAACATTGGAAGTCCTAGAAAAATTGCAGTTTTTTAAAATTAGAGTAAACGTTTTGGAACTTAATCTGATTGTCCCCTGTAATTATTTATTGCTAATTTAGTGTTAAGGTTTCATTTTTTATGCCATGCTGGTTGTTATGCATGAAAATATGCTTGTCTTACCAGTGTTATTTTGAAAACCAAGGATAGAAATTACCAGGTCCGTAAGGCTTTTTGCCTGCTATAATGTAGCAATGTGAAGCTCTTAGTATTGGAGGCTACAGTTGAATTAGGATGAGTTTAGAGAGTTGGATGAGTAAATAGTGCTGGGTGAATCATGAGTCAGATGTAGTAATGGCAATTGCATTTTACCTTTTACAATCTCTCTTAGGGTCCATTTTGATCTCAGAAAATGCATGGGAAAGAGTTATCAAGGAAAAGAGAGGAATATTAAAAGGAAAGAATCTGTAAGGAAAAGTTAAACATAGATCCAAACACAATAAATCTAATTAAGATGTTATTTCAAACTCATTTTATTCTTTATTTCTATTATATATTACCTCCATCCCAAAAGCAAGTTCCTGTTTGACCTATGAATGAGCATCCTCTCTAAGTCTTGACCATGAAATCTTTTCTTTTCTTGCTTCAAACATAACAGGAACACTAATCTCATTAGTAGCTCAGTATAATAATGTTTTAAAAGACACATAATGCATTTCTTTTTTATTTCAATATGTTACAGAGGTTAAGTGGACCCCCCGGAATGTCAATGGATTGGCAAGGTGCACCAGCAAGCCCTAGTTCCTATACCGTGAAGAAGATATTGCGACTAGACATCCCAGTTGATACTTACCCCAATGTGAGTGCTACATTCATTTTTTTTTTAATTTCTGGAAGGGGATTTATTTAAAATGACTTCTATTTAATTACTAAACTAGTTGGTGGATTGTAGTTCAATTTCGTAGGACGACTTCTTGGCCCCCGAGGAAATTCACTGAAGCGTGTGGAAGTCACTACAGGATGCCGTGTATATATTAGGGGAAAAGGTTCTATAAAAGACCCAGACAAGGTAATAATCATATTATCAAATGAGTTTTGGATCGGCTAACATGAATGGACATGTGATATTGGAGCATTTAACAACTAAAATAGTTACTCTTTTTTTGTATGGTGAGGCTTCATGTGATGCCTAGATTGAATTATGTATTTTATGAATTCTTCTAATGTGTTTAGGAGGAAAAATTGCGAGGTAGACCAGGTTATGAACATCTGAATGAACAACTCCATATTTTGATTGAGGCTGATCTACCTGCCAACATCATTGATATTAGACTCCGCCAGGCTCAAGAGATCATAGGAGAACTGCTTAAGCCTGTGGTAATTCTTCATCTAAGCTTTTTTCCTTTTCAATTCCAGAGAATTTGACTGATAGTATGATCCCAGTTCTAAGAGCAACACGAATTGATAAAATGATAGGCTTTCTTGAAATTCTCAACCTGACACAACTGTGCAAGCTCCTTATCAATCTGTGAAATTTAAATAAATGATGATTATGATGCTAGGATTTGTTCACTTAGGATGTTTTTACATGGGCTGGTCTCAATCCGAGACCAAACTTCGACAATTGTGAAATACTTATATACAAAATATCTATCAGCCTAGTTCAAACCCTACCAAACTTAAACAGAACAAATCAGACCAGCAGACCAAAAAACTCAGTCCAATTTAAAACATTCTTATAGAGGTGCCGGGACTTAAGTAAACTTAAAGATATACTTTTAAATTTCACTCCAAGGGAACATGTCCGTATCTTACATATATTTTTTAAACCATAAGGCGGCTTACATATTTTTTAGCTATATACTTATGGAAAGTTTAACGCAATAGCTTATATGAAATGCTATATTCTGGTTTGTTTTCACTACTAACTTTATAATTTTAAACAACAAATCATTTTTTTGTTGCCAAAATTGTAGCTTCATTTTTTGGGTCTTTTGTGCCCCATATTTAATGTTGCATTGGATGTGTGGGCGTACTAGAAAAGATTGCTTGAGGAATGAGACAATTAGACAAAATGTGAGAGTAACACCTATTGAAGATAAGATGAGAGAGTCTTGATTGCGGTGGTTTGACCATGTGCTTAGAAATTCGAGTCTTACACTAGTTAGATGAGTTAAGAGGTAAGGACTAGGGAGAAGAGGCGGTGAGGAGAGAGGAAAACCTAAACAGACATGGAGTAAAAAGTGTTAGGAATGATATTTATGCTGCATGCAAACGTGAGAGTCACAGGCAAACGGGAAATGCCTTCTTTTAATATGAAACAACTGTTTCGAGGGTTTCCATAGAGTTTCCGTAGAGGTTTGATGTTTCATAGATGATATGATACTTCTTGGGTTAGATGAGAGTATAAACATGCGGAGGATTGATCTCATTTTACATCTTTATTATCTTCTTTATCTTTTTATTTTATTTTTTTTATCTCTTTTATCTTATCTCTTTTTTATCTTTATCTTATTTTTTTTATCTTTTAATCTTTTTTTTATCTGTTTATCCTTTTTAACTCCGATTTCATATGTCGACTTATGTTAGCCGACCCCAAACTCTTTTGAGACTAAAGTTTGGATGTTGTTGTTAATGCCCCATATTTAACAACCTATTTATCATCTCTCTTTCGTGGATTTTCCAAAATACTTCGTTTTATGTTACTAAGGCTTGTTTGATATAATTTCCATGTCAGTTTTTAGTTTTTGTGTTTTGCAACTAAAATTTACACTCCCTCCGTATTATTTTATTTGCAACATTAGGTTGTCACACTACTTAGGAGGAAAATAATAGGGGTATTATAAAGTGTTAAAGTGATAAAGTAGGAACCATAAAGTAATAAAGTAGGTGAAGAAAGGTAATTAAGAGTAAAAGGTAAGGGTATTTAGGTATTTTGATGGATAAAACTTTCCATAAAAGGGAAGTGTTGCAAACATTAAAATATGGTCCAAAAAGGAAAGTGCTGCAAACAAAAGAATATAGGGGTAGTATCACATAAGATGCATGATGAACTAAAAAGTATTTGTACTTAAACTGACCAGGGGTAGCATCTTATGTGTCTTTGGTACTTTAACAAAATTAGAAAGCAAATAAGACAATGACGAGCCTTTGGTACTTTAACAAAATTAGAAAGCAAATAAGACAATGACGAGCCTTTGGTACTCGTTTTATATATTCTTTATTTTTCTTAGCTAAGCACTAAATATAAAAACCAGGAATAGCCATTTCCTGTTTTTTGTTGTCAGTTTTCAAAACAAACACGATACATCCAAGTATACTCTTCCGGCTTCTTTAAATACCTAAAGAAAAACTGAAAATTGACCGCCACACAGAACAGGCTTTTATTTTAGTTTTCAACTATTAGCTAGTTTTTTAGCTTGATGTGCCAAGCATAGCTTATAACTGAATGAGGACATGTTAAGAAAAGTGTATGTTGGATAAGATAAATGAATGTATTTGGTTGTGAAAATAAACAATTTAAATAAGGGAAAATGGAAACTAATAATCCAACCTTTTAGCGGTTTTCTTACAATAGTCTCACCTTTTGATTATTCGGGAATAATCCAACCTTTGCACCTTTGCACCCCATCTTCATTAAATGGTCCTGACCGGTAGATGACCTGTTATTCCAAGTTATTTTCTTATCTTTGCTAAACATTATGTGACCATAAGGTGAGATTTATGGTATAATATATTGCAAAGATAAGAAAATAAGTTGAAATAACAGGTCATCAACCGGTCAGTGACCATTGAATGAAGATGAGGTGCAAAGGTTGGATTATTCCTGAATAATCAAAAGGTGAGACTATTGTAAGAAGACCGCTAAAAGGTTGTATTATTAGTTTCCATTTTCCCTTTAAATAATAGGCATTCTACCATTCCTAGAAATGGATATGAGAGGGGGAAACTGAGATAATGTATTTGAGAGTGCTTAGATTCTTATATTCTTATTGTTATCTTATATTTAAGGATAAGATCTTCCCTTGCATATTTCATAGCTCAACAACCTGCTCCTTTTGTTTGTAGGATGAATCACAAGATTATATTAAGAGACAACAATTGCGGGAATTAGCATTACTGAATTCTAATTTCCGTGAAGAGAGTCCTGGACCAAGTGGCAGCGTGTCGCCTTTCAATTCCAGTGGAATGAAGCGTCCCAAGACTGGCCATTACAAATGCTGATCCTGATTATGTATAACTTCTTGTTGAGGACGTTCCGTCTTTTTATTCGCAGGGTCGTGCGTCTCTCTGCTTGGCTCGCTATTACCAAACATATATATAGATGTGACATTGAAGATTGGGCTGTGGTCTCGTTGCATGTTGGGCTTTTACTATGTCTTTAAATCTGAGATAGCCATATGGTGGGTGGCAGGGTGGGGTGAGTGCAAAGGGGGAGAGATAAAACAAAATATGTTCTTTATACAGTTTACCTGATTGAATTTATATGGTTGGTCGGTCGGTGTCTGGAGCTGGAGTTTTCGTGTGAGTTCTTGTGCACTTTGATTCTTTGAATTTATTTGTGATGTTAGTGAACTCTTATTGTTTTAGTGTGAAATATCATAGCCTTATTGCTATTGTTATATTAGTTCATTGTAGAAAGGTTATTCGTTTGAAGCAAGCTTTGTAGCAGAAATACCTTCTGCCTTGTCTATTATATTTTGTTAGAAGTGATGAACTTGAAAGTTGAAATGAATGGTCAACTATTTTTTGAACTGTGGAGGCAGTGGAGCCATTGTTTAGTGTTTTCTGCATCTCACATTTTATTCCATTTATTTGGTTGAATTAGTTTACCAATTGCACCAGTCCATCTACTAACTTACATTGTTTTGGTAGCTTTTGGAGGGTTCTAAAAAACATTTCACATTTTCACCTACTGACCTACCCCTACCTCCACCTCTCTTCTAACCAAACAAAGCCTTGAAAGAGGTAAAAGTCACGCATCAGATATACACATAAACATGTGATCATTAGATAGTTCTTTTTGATACATTGTACTATGCTATTTTCTGAATATATATATTTACATTTTATCAAAAAAATAAAATAAACATGTGATCATGAAATTGCTAAATATGTAATGAGTGAAGTGTTACCTGTTAAGGTTGCACATAAGCAAGAGATTATCGATGATTAGGAATGATGAAAGTGTGTTAATGTTAAAAGATGAATATGATGTACAAACCAATAATCAACAACCCAACTAATTCATGCAAGTAAAGCATATACATTATATCCCACACTTAACTCCTTTCGCATATTTGATTATATATATACTAGTATATAATTCTGGCTTAAATAAGTTTTTAGTCCCTACAAGTATGACACACTTTGTTTTAGATCTCTTCAATTTCTGTTTTTGCTTTTCATAATTTCATCCTTGTAATATGCACTGTTTTGGTTTAAATTCATTTTAACTTTGGAACTACTCTCTACGTACAAAAAAGTTACAGTCGGTTGCTTAAATTTACTAGATACATTTAAATTTATTTGTTTATAATTTCGTAAGGATATTATGAGAGTTAAAACAATGTAAAAGTAATTATTCACATTTTTAATATATATATATATATATATATATATATATATATATATATATATATATTACAAACCTTTTAAAAAATAAAATTTATACTTTTCGAATAACATGACAAAGAATTAGATGAAATCTATTAGTCGAGTTGTTTAATTGTGAAATAGATGTTGTTATCATCGGACTAAAAAAAGTCAACATATATTCCAAGGATGAAAAACAAAAAAAAATTATAATTTTGCAAGGATGTATAACAAAATGTACTACATTTGCAGAGACTAAAAATATATTTAAACCTATAATTCTATTCTATTATTATAGCCAACCTTGGTATCAACATTGTACAATAGTTTTTAAATATGTAAATTATTATTATACGGAGTAATCAATATTGTAATGCACTGATCTAGCCTAATTAGAGTTGTTGTTGCTTGAGATTTAATTAAGCCCGTTCGAATCTAATTTGGTTTTTGAGGTTTTTCTAATCACCTAGTTTGATAGTATCAGTATTTTATTATTGTTCAATATTGTTCAAAACTGACGTGTTTTGATTTGGTTTGTTTAATTCTAATATGATTTGATATGGAACTAAACAATTTTGAGTGAACATGTTAACTAATTTAAATAATATTGAGATTTGCAATTTTGTGTAGTTATATATAATGAACCACATCACTGGTTGCCGTATCAAACGACAGATGGCACCTAACATGTTTATAATTAATCAATTTAAATATATATGTTGTGCCTAACTTTAATAACTATTAATTTAATACATTGATGCAGTTCACCACAATCAATAGAATATATAATTTTTATACAAGTTAGTAGAACATGAGAAATGTCTCCAAAGTATTTAATTCATCAACAATCTTTTAGTTTACACACGTCCAAAACGTATTTCACAACCTCTCACAAAACTTTCTTAACTACTCGTATTAAATTAGGAGTCCGTTTGAATACCTTATTTCTTGCCTTATCAGTCAACCTTTCATTAATTATTTTTGTGATTGAATTGTCTAAAATTATTCTAGATGACCATTTTAGTTCTTTTTCATATCACGCTTTCTTTGTTTTATTTATAAAAAACTATAATTTTTTCCATAACCCAACAGATTCAACCTGTTGGAGGTATAGCCTCCCCTAGTGTGGTGTATGTGAGTCTTTGTGTAGAAAGACCTGAGCCGGAGACCGATACGATCCCAACACAACCAATTCAGGCACTTCAATCAAAATTTCATAAATTTGAATAGAATCAACTGATTTCAACCAATTTCAATGCATAGGGCTCTAATTTTCTTAAAGAACATGTCTATAAACTATGTGTAATGTCACAAGCAAGCAATCTACGACACAAAACATTTATCTATGCACATATATTAGGAGTGGACTCGGGCCGGGCCAACCGGCCCGGAACCGGACCGGCCCGCTACTGTGCGGGCCCGGCCCAGCCCGGTGAGGCGGTTAGTTCACGGTTCGGGCCACCCGGCCTTGTAACTATATTATAAACCCGGCTGACATCGACACTTAAGAAAAAATTGTTAATGTTTTGGCATATTTTAATAACGCAACTCTAACTTTTAGTCATGTTTATAAACCTACCGCAAACGAATTTTATGTTGAAGCTGTTAATCTCGCCGGCGCTTTTTGTGAATTTTCCAAAGCCACTTACGTTAGTTATTTTTGTGATTTCATGAAACAAAAGTTTTTAAAATATTATTCACATATTCCGCATATATATGGTATTGCATTTGTTCTTGATCCTCATTATAAACTTGCTTACTTGGCAAATTGTATAGATTACTATTATTCTTCTTTTTTTCCAACTCAAGAGTTCGATGATAATCCCATCGACCCTAAACAAGAATTCAATGAGGTTAGTAATTTATTTCATCAATTGTATAATGAATTTCATGCACAATATGATAATGCACCCCCTCCCATGCAACGAACATCTTCTTCATCTAAAGGAAAATCACTTTTAAAATCCGCTTTTGGTTCTCTTTTGAAAAAAAGTAGAGCAACTCCCGCTACTGAACAAAGCTCAGGTAACGAGCTTTCTTTGTATCTAACATTGAATGTTGATTATGAAGTTGGTGATGACTTTGACGTTCTTAAGTGGTGGAAGGAAAATGAAAGAACATTCCCGATTTTATCAAAGATGGCTAAGCAAGTGCTAGCAATGCCGATATCAACCGTTGCCGTGGAACAAGAATTTAGTGTGGCCGGCAACGTCCTAACCGATTATAGAACGAGGTTGAGCCTGAGCTCACTTGAGACACTAGTTTGCTTTCACGATTGGTTGAAGGCCCAACGAAGAACTCAAGAAATTACCATCACTCCCACCCGCCACTTTATGGAGGAAACAACCGAAGGCGGAGATCTCGATTGATTTTTTATTACAAAATGTATTACATTTTTTAAATTCATCCTAATTCTCAATTGTACTTCTTATTTGAAATAAATATACTTGAATTCGAATATAATATATTGTAATTGTAATAAGAATTATTCTAATAATATAATATATAATATATAATAAAAAAATTAAAAGGCCTGGCCCGGCGGGCAGCCCGGCCCGTGAACCGGGCGGGTGACCCGAACCGAACCGGATCCGGGGTTATCCGGGTCGGTTCCGGGCCTGCCTTCCGTGAACCGAGGCCCAGCCGGTTCTAGGCCCGAACCGAGTCCACCACTAACATATATAGAAGAGAAAGACAAGAGACATCGAGAAAGAGAGGATATTACAAGATGTGAAGACCTGCTATAGAAAATTGTGTATTTTTTAAACTCTTATAACTTCCTTATTTCTATTCCAATTTTTACAAAAAATATATCAAAATTATAGATTTTTTATTGTTGGGATATTTAACCCATGCCCAATATAGACCCAAATATCCCTGAAAGCTCGAGCTGCATACAGGCTCAAATTTCTCCGAAAGCTCAAGCCACATACAAACCCATCGACAATGTAGCCAGTTCAGAATAGGCGTTTGGCAATCCCGCACGGGCATTGCCATACAACCCAGTCTCTTCACTTGGGCTTCTATACTAACTCTAGCAGCCGCCCAATACAGATCTCCCCAAAGCAGTTGAACGGAAAACCTGGGAATTGGTGGAAAGCGCATTTAATGCACAAGATATGAAAGATTTTATGTTTGAGGTTCACCCACTCAGGGTTGGACACATCACCCCCATCACTTACTACCTTGTAGTATAAATGACAACTAAGTATTAGACTTCTCTCTAGTTTCCTCAATAGCATTCAGCTTGAGCTAAGGGATCGGAGTTCCGCTTGACAGAAGTGTCGTAATCGTTCTTTAGACTCCAAACATAATTATTGGATCCAATTTCCTCTAATTACTTGTTTGTTCTTAGATTTACGTGTTGCCTTAAACAATCACTAAAACAATCAACATAACACAGGAATTCCGTCGAAAGCCAAATGATTGTGTTGGGCCTTTGAATCCTGAGGAATAAACCTCAACATTTATACTCCATATTTCGTTCAGCAATAATATTGCATGCATAAAGTTCAAAGAATCTAAGATCGAACTGCTGAGGGTTTTTAGTCTCAAATATTTATAATCACATCCAAATGCTAAATTCAAGATATCGCGATTAAAGTTTTGCTTACATCTTTATGTTATTTTTTTCAAAAAAATAGGTCCAAAATAACAACAAAAGTTAAACTTCAAATTCATTTAATTTTAAATTGGAGTGTTTTAGTTTTTAAATCATCATTATTCGTAAAGAATATATCGACAAAAAAGATGATGTAGAATAATAAAAATAATGATATGTTAAAAAAATATGTTGTATGAATACATTGACAATATTAAGTTATAGAAAAATCGAATTGACTAAATTATAATGAGAAAAACATTACCCTGTATAATAATCAAATACTTCAGGTGTGTTTTGTATTTAGCGGATAGCGGGTTATGTTAACGAGTTGTCAACAGTGGATTCAGTCAGCTGATTTGACTAGCGGAATAAGTTGATGGATTGCCACAAAGTGTTTGATAATTTAGCTGTTTGACTATAAAATAGTAGAAAACGTCATATTTCAAAAGACGACTCCAATACTCTTCTATTTGTATCATTTCTATTTCAACAAAAAAAGGATGACACCCCATCCCTGAGGGCCTCTCAACCCCGACCGAACGGTAAATTGGACTATAATTCCAATCTGACAGATAAAGAGTGAGGCTCTATACCTGGTACTTGCAGAGACCTATGCAGTTTTAGGATATTAACATCTCATCGCATTTGTCGAGATTCAAACCCGGACCTGACATAGATGTGAGGGTTGAACAAGTATTTACGGAATAGTTTCATTTTCCAAACACCCTCGTGTGTACTATTTACTATGAGATGTACGGTTTTAATTATTAAGCCTAAACGTCTAAAACTTTTTGAATTGTGATTCTCCCTCACAAAGGCTTCACCCTTCTTTCAAGAAAACTAGATTCTCACCCGTACGATGCACGGAGCATAAATTAAATAATAACTATATTATATGATTTGTTAAAGTTAATTAATGTATTATTAAAACTAATACTCCACAATATATATTGGTAAAATGTATCACAATAGATATATAGAGTATGTAATACGATAGTATATAGTAAAAAGTTATAGTAAAAGAAAAGACAGTAAGAAATGGTGCAAATTATGTTGGGATCGAATTTGTTCCATTGAGTATTGAACCCAAGACTTCTCATAAAGAAGAGTGAGTCAGCGACCAGCTGCGTTGAACCACTTCCTCTACTACAATGAGATTGTAGTAGCCTACACATTTTGAAAAAATTATTTGTAAACATGTAGGGTGGCTGACTTTGAACATAAATCAATACATCCTCATCTTCAACATAAATCAATACTTTCAAACCCACACAATATTTCACTCTTGAGTTTAAAATTTGTCAATGATCCACCTTTGTTGATAGTTTTATTTATCGTTCTTCCCATTGACGTGAATGAAAGCATTTTATGTTATGAGTGAATATTTTTTCGAAAGTGTTTACAGGCTAAATTCATACCATTAATCAACCGCTGTAATTTCAATTGAGACCCGCAACCCCTTAAATATGTAGTCCTTGCTTGTTGTGTGTGTGTGATCCTAATAAATCTAATTAAAATAAACGATATCATAAAAGACACGTATCAAATTTTGGAAATTTGATAAGCTAATAGACATTACAAATTTTGTAATAATAAACATTATAAATTAAGAACAATTGGAAATGATAATTCCAACTATTGTCAATCCAGTCACAATAATCAAAAATATTAATTATTTATGTATAATCCCAACAATATGGATCATCGTCAATAATAGTCCATAACCAAATATAACTTACGATGGCAGGTCATATTTAAATAAAAACTAAGCGTATTCTATAAATAATCTAAGCTATGCTCGTTCTTCTTTAAATAATCCCAACAATCATCTCATTTTTTAACAAAAATGTCGAATAAATTATTATGAGGATAATCTTTAAATTATTATTTGAAATTTGAATTTTATAAAATGAAAGTTTAACTAATTTTTTATGCATAATCTTTTTTACAATATTTATTTTTTATGAGGATTTTAATGATTTTTTTTATCTAATAAAAGTCGAAATATGATAGTTCAAATTATTATAATACGATATTTCTTTTTTAATTGACTGAACTTGTAGTCGGTCACGTGGAATCATTATTGGCGGAAAGTCTTGAAAGTTGAAATTATTTTAAAGTAATGCATAGTTAGGATTTTTATAAGCGAATGACTAATAGTTGTCATTTTTATTATAAATTTTTCTTGTGACTTATGACGTACGTATGTCACAAAGGCTCCCAGGTTCGCTGAGGTAGGGGATCGGATGTACGCAGTTTTACCCCTGTAATTAATCACATAAAGACTGTTCTCGGATGATTCATAGTGAAAATCGCGTCAAAAATTGCATGGATTAATTGTTGTTTCATAACAAAAAATGGATGCAATTTAGTGAGCCATTTTGCTTTACTCCGTTATATTTTCAAGTCAAAAAATAGTGAATGTTTGATTCCAGTGATATAATCCTCATAGCGAATAAAATTGTGTAATCTTGTCCAACCCAATCCATTTCTTGTGCATAGAAAATGATAAATATAGATATATTAATTTGGCAAACTAAAATATACCAAACATATACTCTGTATAAGGGTGTTTTCTTTTGGACTGAAATGTGTTGGTCTGATCTAGTCTGAACTGATCTGGTCTATTCTAGTAAATGTCTGATTTCTGTGTATTTTATAATTATGAGAGTCTGGTCCGGTTTGACCTGGTATGGGCATGAAGACAGTCCAAAAGAAACATCCTTGGGCTATTTTGTAATATCAAAATTGAAACACTTTTACACAATCCAAGAAATGCTATTGTAAATCACAATATAAACAATTACAAACAAATTATTTTCCATTAATAATAATTTATATTCATAAAAAGAATAATAGTAATAATAATAATAATAATAATAGTAGTAGTATTTGAATCAATAATAATAATGGTGATAGGAACCGTCAAACTCAACTACCAAACTTTTCTCTTCTTCTCTCTAGAGAGAAATCCTAGTGGGCCACAGTGACCGTCTCCCGACCTCCCCTCTTCGTTAGGGTTGAGATTTTCCGCCGCCCTTATCAATATGGGGTCGGAGCGGCATATTATACTGATTTTTAGCATTCCAACGCTTGGGATTGCAACTACGTCGAAAGAGATAGCGTTGACGGATGAACGAAGTGCGACTAAGAGGTTGTATCGAGTCTGGATCGTGAAGCCTTGGTCAGCTATTCCGGCAGTGGTGGAGTTGGTATTCACCGATATTGCAAGAGTTTGTCCGCCTCCGGAACCACCTCCATACCAGGGAATGCTTTGTGGAAAGATTTTATTTCAGTATTATTGTCCTCCTCCGGAACCACCTCCATAGCGGAATAAGTTGATGGATTGCCACAAAGTGTTTGATAATTTAGCTGTTTGACTATAAAATAGTAGAAAACGTCATATTTCAAAAGACTACTCCAATACTCTTCTATTTGTATCATTTCTATTTCAATAAAAAAAAAGAATGACACCCCATCCCTGAGGGTCTCTCAACCCCGACCGGACGGTACGATGAGAGGATGTAAATTGGATTATAATTTTAATCTGACAGATAAAAAGTGAGGTTCTATACCCGGTACTTGCAGAGACCCTATGCAGTTTTAGGATATTAACATCTCATCACAGTTGTCGAGATTCGAATCCCCGGACGTAACACAAATGTGAGCCTGGAACAAGTATTTACGGAATAGTTTCATTTTCCAAACACCCTTGTGTGTACTATTTACTATGAGATGTACGGTTTTATTATTAAGCCTAAACGTCTAAAACTTTTTGAATTGTGATTCTCCCTCACAAAGGCTTCACCTTTCTTTCAAGAAAATATCCCCTTTTCGTTTCGTTCTTTTAACTTTCTCGTGAACAACAATAGACATGGCGATGTTAGCTCGTTTCCGCCACTCCAGAATCAACACCCTTTGCCGGAGTCGCGATATCATCAGTTCTCCAACCCGTCACGGCCTCTCCGGCCGAAATCCCATTCTTTCAGGCGATTATTCTTCCTACAAGAAGACCGTACCCCATTTTCCCAACCCACGCGCTGCCTTTTGCTCTGTTTCCGGCAGCCGAAAAAATGCGAGGCCTTTTTCTGCGTTTCTTTCCGGGTGGAGATCCAGAGTCGCCGCAGATCCGAAGTTCCCTTTCAAGGTGGCCATGGAACAACTGGTCGGCGTTAGCGCTGGCGTCGCCGGCGACATGGCGACCCGACCCAACTTCGGCCTCAACGAGCTCGATTTCGTCTTCTCCACTCTGGTCGTAAGCTCCATCCTCAACTTCCTGCTGATGTATCTCCTAGCGCCGACCCAATCATCACCCTCCGCCGCCCGATCTCCGCCGTCTATTTTCGCGAACTGCCCCCGGAGCCACATGTTCGAGCCGGGAAATTACGGCATCCTCCGCCGCCTGGGAACGTTTGCCTACAAGGGTGCCCTGTTCGCGGCCGTCGGATTCGGCGCCGGGCTGGTAGGAACCGCCGTCTCCAATGGGCTGATCAAGATGAGGAAGGAGATGGATAGCAGCTTCGAGCCGCCGAACAAAGCGCCACCGACGGTTCTGAATGCCGCCACCTGGGCTGCGCACATGGGAATCAGCAGCAATTTGAGGTACCAAACGTTGAACGGGATCGAGTTCTGGCTGGCAAAGAGTCTTGTTCATCGGCCATTGGTGTTCAAGAGCTCTGTTGTGGTGCTGAGGTGCTTGAATAATGTGGTCGGAGGGGTATCGTTTGTGCTATTGGCTAGGCTGACTGGTTCTCAGAGTGTGGATCAGGGGAAATCAACTCCAATCTAATTTTTTCGATTGACCATGTTTTAATTAGTTGTACTTCGTACTTTGTATTAAGAACTTTTGGGCCAAATAATGATAGAGTAATGATAACTGTGCACCTCATTTTTCATGCCCATCGAAGTGCCTGCGTATAAATAATTTGATTGACGTATAAAATGTGGTGCACGTCGTATTCATACACTCGGGTGTCATTTGGTTTAGCATTTGATTTATACGAGTGGATATCTTTAAAGCAAAATCATTTGGTCATCTTAAATCCATCGAGTATCTTTTTAATTAAACTGGTTTCAGACTTTCAGTATCGTATTAACGAAATTGAATTAGATTTAAATAGATCAGATCCGATCAAATTTAGAACCAAAAGTAAAATACTCTCCATCAAACGTTTGGCATAACAAATTAGACTTGAATAGAGCCGATTTAAATTGACCAGGTTAGATCAAACAAGATCATGCTCGGTTGATAAATTGATAAATCACATTTACCTTTTATGAGTGTTTTCACTTGGATCAGAAATTTTGGGTCTAGTATAATCTCATTAGGTTTTTTTAAGTTTGATGCGAACTCATATGTCTAGTCTAGTAACATTTGACATCATGTGTGCAGGGGCGGACCGTAGTAGAGACGCAGGGGGGCTATCGCCCCCCCAACAATTTTTTTTTTTAGTGTATATATATACGAAAAATGATTTTTGTTCTTCCAAAAATATTTTGAACCCCCCCAAAAATATTTTCGCCCCCCCAAAATGACTTTCCTGGGTCCGCCCCTGCATGTGTGTCTTAATATTATCTATATCCAATATGGTTTGTTCAACGCTAATCAAGTCTCATTTGATCTAAGCTCAAACTGAAATAATTCAAAGAGAAAACTTCCTTTAAGGTGTACTCCGTAATGTTTACTTTTTTTTTTGTTATTTGTATATCCTCCTTTAGAAATAAATTGTTCTATAGATATTTTTCTATTGTGGATAGCTTCTTCATTTAAATTGAGTTGAACTTCTTGGTTGAAGCTCTTCTCGTGTGGATCGTGGGGATTTGGATTTGCTTTAATTTGGTTTGAGATATTGGTGGATGCTGCAAGACACTAACAACGGGTAACAATGAAATTTGGCTTATTCTGCTGAAATTTATGAAGTTTGAAATGGCTGTAGTGGTTTATTCTGCTAATTTATGAAAAAATTATATTTAAAATATTTGTTATTAATAAATAAAATAAAAAATTATATGACAAAGTATCTAAAATAATACTCTATAGTAACTTCAACTAATACAAAAAGTAACCTCAATCTTGTTTTTTCTTAGTATTACGCAATTCAGCGTGTGAATCAAATGTTACGTGTTTAGTGAAAAAATAAGTAATTGCCCTGGATAGGACTAAAACATAATATTAATTCCAAAATAGGACCTTATCTTTTTTATTCCCAAAATAGGACCACCAATTCCAATAATACCCTTTCCCCTTATTTTAATTTCTCTGTGTAAATCCAACTAGCACCATCCCCCTTTCTTTTCTCTTTTTTTAATTTCTCTCTCGTAGCATCTACATCTCCCCCTTTCTTTTCTCTTCAAATTAAAACACTAATACAAAACAATCATCTCTCTCTTCTTCCATCAGAACGACGGAGCTTCCTAGGCGGATCAATAACAGAGAGCATGGGGCGCACATCCTAGATGGAACAACGGAGGACGCACACGGGGCTATACGACGGCAGAGCTGCAAGGCGGTTGTGCGGCAGGACACTTGGGTGAGTTTTCTTCCCTCGTTTCTTCTCTTCTCCGGCCATCTTCTTCTTCCTCCTTCTTGCCCCTAGCCTCTGTTTTCTTCATCTCTTGGTTTATTTGTTTATTCTCCATTAAATTTTTTATTTGTTTACCTAGATTCAAACTGAAAATCATTATTTTAGATCTGAAAATTTTGTCTTGAAAAATTCAAGACCCAATGAGTTTGACTAGAAAATTTGAAATCATTTTTTATTTTTTATTTTTCTATTTCTACTAATTATTTTAAAAAATAACATTAGTTTTCCTAAGCATTTTTAAGCTGATAATATAGTTGGAACAAATAGAGAACTCGTTTTCTTCTTCTCCCTTCTTCTCTTCCCCTCATCATCGTGCTCCTCTATTTATCTCCCAAATTTTTTGCTATATTTTGTTGATTTATTTGTGTAGATTTGACACTATTAATAATGCCATGTTTTTTCATGTGAAATTATTATTTGACATTTAATGTCATTTTTATGACACTAATTCCATCAAAATGGTTAATAAAGCCATGTTTTTTCATCCATAATGCCATTCGTATGGCACTAAATCTTTACTGATGAAAATATTATTATACCCTTTACAAACATTTATAATGCCATGAAAATATGAAAATAGCAATAAGATAAACATCCATTATATATTTTAATATGAAAAAATGACATTTTAAAACACTCTTTTCAAATTTCAGATCGTCGGAGGAGGAGGAACCAAGGTGGTGGTGGTGCCAGCGATGACATGGGTGGCGGCAATAGGGGTAGAGCAACCGACAGCGACGACAACAGATGATGTGGCATGTAACGACGGTGGAGGCAGAAAAATTGAGGAAAAATTCTGGATATTTTTTGCATCACCGGATCTCCGGCGATTGGCGGCGCATGACAGGCGGCGTGACTCTGGATAGGCGGCGCCAGATCTCTGCCAAGGCCGTCGGATCTCCGGCAGGCGGTGGCCGGTGGCGGAGGAGATGGCCTGCGGCAGTTGCTCCATGGTGATGATTGCTGTTTGGTGAGCTTCGTACGCATGCGGAGGACATGCATCAGTTGGGACTTCTAATTGTTAAGGATAAATTGGTCAACTCGTGTTATTTTTAGTCCTATTAAAAAGTAGACTCCTATTTGTGCAATTCTTGACTTATTTAGTCCTATCCACGGAATTATATCTGAAAAATTGACTGATAAGCTTAATAAACCGAAAAAGGAGCCACCAAACGGGCTCTAAATGACCTAGCATTATCATGCATATATATGTGTGTGTTCAAAATAACAAACTTCAATTCTTATTATTATATCGATTCAAAGTGATGCGACTAATGTCATTGAATTTTAATACTTCTTCCATCCCATTTTACTTATCCAATCTTGACTTTTCAAGTCAATGGAATCTAACTTTGACCGATTATATGTTTATATAGAGAAAGTATTAATAATAAGAAAATGATATGAAAATGTTTTTTGTTAAAAAATATGATCAAAAAAGTATAAAATTATTAAATTTTGCATAAATATATTAATTTAAATAATTGATCAATGTTTACTATCTTTGACTGGAAAAATCAAAGATGACTAAGTAAATTGGGATTGAGGGAATAGTAAGTGGATGTCTAGTCACTCTTGTTATAGTGTTTGGTACGAAGATCAGACTCCCACCCAAATTTGAACCAAAACTCCGGGCCAGGGTACGTCGAAATCAATGCAACAGAGTTGTGGTTTGTCTGGGTATGGGCCATGGGCTAAAAGAGTTTAGCTTGTTCAAAAAAAGTGTTGAGCTTCTTCACATATGGATACTTCTTCCTCCTTATTTGCGAGAGGATGTGAAAAAGTAGAAAAGAGAGAAAATTGAAAAAGTAAGAATACTTGGATATTTTTAAACGAAAAACTTACTAAAAAAGAAAAGTATAACAAACTTTTGAATACATCCCAAATAGCAAAGTGTAGCAAACGCTTAAATTATGGGAGAAGTTCCACGGAGTATGCTCTTTACCTAACAATAACGGGACACAGACGTGGTATTAATTAATACTCCGTACTTCGTAGTTCGTAATTATGAGTCGAATCTAGAACTAGTTGAAGCATGGAACCTGAGCATGGAATTGGTTGTCCTGATCGATCCCTGTTACTTCGTAAATTATAATCCAGGAGTTGGTCTATTTAAATCCAACTTGAAGAATGGAACCTATTTAAGTCTAATTTTAGGTGTCTTTGTTTTGCAAACTTGATTATACACTAATTTTAGGTGTCTTTGGTATGGTTCACGACTCAAATAAGTCAATACAACACATGATAAATTTATTTTCAAGTGTGTGACCTGTTATTTCACCTTTTATAGCAAGTGGAAGTACTAACCAGCTACTTGTTCTGTTATCACATAGCCAATCTAACTATTGACCTAGCTATGCGAAAGTTATATATTGTTTGTACTCCGTCGGTGGACGTAACTCAGCTAGTAGATAGGAGGTGCCACAAGGGTGATAAGGGTAAGTATCAGGCTCGATTCTTGACAACTACGATACAATGTTACTAAGGAAAATGCATAAGATCTCTACAAGTGCTTGAGCCAGAGTCTCACTCACTATCTACCACTCTATCAGTATGTGATTAAATCCAATTTGCATCATCCCATATTAGTTAAAATTCAATACACCAAATATATACTCTGTATAATAAAGCAAAAAGGTGGACACACGTGAAACAGGTAACAAAGTAATGTACATCCCAAATGGGCTCTACAACCTGCCTAGCTCACTCTATTTGTTGCAAGTTGCGACATTGTCTATTGTGCTTACTATCCTTCTCATCTTTGCTGCAATGTACCACAAACCGACCTAAGCTTTGAGGAATGTCGCTAACCTCAGGGGTTGTCTAGAACAATTATGAGGCCATAGACATTTATAGACATTTTGTTTGAATATATTTTTATTCAACGTTACAAAATAAAAAATAGAATATAAATTAAATAGAATCAAATTACATATGAAATGAATCATATATACTATTAAAGTAAAGATAATATTTTTGAAAGCAAAAGATCCAAAATTGACCAAAAATATATGGGTAACTAATAACCTATTCTTCTCTAGCTTTATGAAGAGCAAAATTTGTAAGAGCATCACTACAATTAAAAGTAGCTAACATTTTTTCAATCGATAATATAGCTAAATCAGATAATCTATGTTTAGACATGGTTGATCGGAGAATTTTTTTATCAACTTCAATTTTGAAAATTTTTGCTTGACAGCTACAATAGTCACTAACATAGTCAATACAATTGTGTAAGCAATCCAAGCATTTGGAAAATAAATATGCATATCTTTTATGTACTCCATAGAACCGGCGAATGATTTTACAACTAAGTTCTTTCATTATTAATTATTTTTCTTTGATTGCCACTATGTTTGGTGTTTGCTTTGAAATCTTTATTATTTATTCATGTTTGATTCTAAGTATTCTCTGTTTTCAATCATATTTGGTCTAGGATCGATCCTAGTCTATTGTTACTAG